AGTAATTACATACAAATATAAATTAATTTGAGGATATGAAGTGATTCGAATAAGTGCTTTTAATTCAATCTAACTTCGGAATATTTTGAATTTTAGTTGTAATCATTATTAAGAAAGATTAGTTGTTATAAAGTTGTTTTGATAGATATGTGTCATTTAACAGAATTAATGATTTATAAACATTCTCAATTAATATTTATTGTTTAAAATATTGTTGATGTTGTAATTTTCTATAATAAATAATTGCTTAGAATGTTTAATTAATTTTATGTATCTAATAAATCGGTTATCATTATGTTAACTAGATCTATGCGTTTAATGTGGAAGATATTTTATCAAATCATTTCTGAAGTGGTAATGTTTCTTTATTTAACGTAAGATTTCTGTTATAAATTCACTTCTAATTACTATAGAACTTTTTAAGTTATAATAAAATCAATTTTAATGACAACAAGAAAAGTTTACTGTTGATTTACATTTATTGTATTGTAATATACTGTATATTAGATTTCCGAAAACAAATCTGAAAAAAAAATCTTGTACAGTTTACAGAAAAATAAATAAATATCATGTCAATTATTTGCAAATTAGATAAATTAGTTTAATTTATAGTTCATTTGATTTTTTCATTATTAATGAAAAATTCTACTCACTATACATTTTTAATTTACAAATAAAATTACAAATAAGATATCATTTCTATTGCCCGATATAATGTACATGAAGTAAATTTTAATGACTTAAATTTTAATTTTTAATTATTTTTCAAATTGTTTTAAATGAAGATTATAAATAATTTGAAGTTTGCAATTGCAATAAATTTATATAATTAAATAATTATAAATTTGTGTAGTATTATTAAATTAGCTCGAATGAAAGACTTTTTTATAGTTAGGTAATTAATATTAATTTAAATTAGTTAAACATGATTATCATTTATCAGCAGAAAGATAAATTTTAGGTAGTTCATCTCAACTTTACACTTTGCGATTATCTATTTAATAATAACGAATAGAATATTAATTTATCACACAATAATTATAGACGAACATTTCAGTGCAATATATTTTCAATTTAAAAAGAAAAATAATAACAGCATTCAGAAGCAATCTCCAAGAAAAGAATAAAAATGTAAGATTATCAAATAAAGCAAATTTCTTTTTATCTTGTTCCAATTTAAAACGTCAAACCAAAACATTAATATCATCCAAGCGTACAGATCAGACAATTTGATATAAAAAGCATCGAAGTCTAAAGAAGATAAGTCCTGTGAAATGGTGCAAGAGACAGTTCTTCGGATGTATGGTTTCAATAAAACGGTGACGCCATTAACGCTTTCTTTCTCTCTCTTCTTCAATAGAATAACCAGAGGGGATTGGAGCAATGTAGCGATGGAAGATTGGCGACTTTCAGACTCTTTAGATTGAGGTGAAGTGATCTGACGATGACTTAATAACTCTCTTAGTAAATCCTCATTCTTTTTTTCTTAACCAACTTTACTTCGGTAAAAGCAATCTCCGGCGCTGAACAACTTCTTTCAATATCATTTACCAACCTTTTTTTCACTAACGGTTCATATGCAAAAATGGCAAAACTGTTTCGTTACAAAATGAAACTTTATATAATAATATAACTCTTCCAATTGTATTTCTTTCTTTTGAATAATGTAAATGTATTTATTATTCAATATATTACTATTCTAAAATTCTTCCTCTTTAATATTTCTCTGCGAAATTCTTTTCAACTTCAATAGAATTTCAAGAATGCCTTGTTTTATCTTCAGTAATAGAATTTCTTCCAGATTTCTTTTGTAAAAGAATTTTCGATTTAGTTGATAAACACTTTTTTACAAAAATTGTTTCTTGTAGTGAGTCAAAGTGCTCGATCTTTGTCTTTTAATTTTCTTGTAGTAATTTACTTTCTTTTCTATCAATTTTATATGACATGTCAATTTTGTTGTTTACGTTCTTCTGTCGCTTTCGAGCAATTAATTAATAAAGATAAAAATTTTAATTGCATATTTAAAAATTTTAAATTATTGAAATAAATGATCTTTAGTTATAAAATAAAGTATGGAAAACTGAGGTTTTAGTATAAGTCCGTATTCTGAATAACAAATGAAATCCATTTTCTGCAGCTGTTGAACTAAATCCTCGCCATTCGCCAAGAAAATGTCGTTCTATGGTTTTGGTACGCTATTATAAATTCAATACATGAAGAGACCATGAATAAAAACTGACTCGATGCCTGTGAAAATATGAAAGAACGTATTTTATATCATATTTTTAAAAAATTAATATTAATCACAGCTAAGCTTACCGTTTTAATAGTGATTAACATCTGACTTTCGACCGTCTGAATGGTAGCATTTATTTTACTTAAAAATGTAACTTTATAAGAGAAATTTTTTTTAAAAACTTCGTTTTTAGTGTGGCCATTTATAAGTAATGATAGCTATTTACGATGCAGGAGAGATCAATGCTTCGTAGAGATAGAAGCAATAAAATAATAAATGTAGTTCATTCCTTATCTGCTGCCGAATATAGAAGAAGTGGCTATATGTCCGTCAATGAAGGTACAAGATAAATTATATCTTTATTGTTGTATTAATACAGGAACCTTACATGCCCCAGTAAAAACAAAGCAAAGTTGATTAGCTACGGTTCTAACTGAGAATCGATGTTAAGAAAGCAAACGATACGAATTTAATCATGTGATACATTATTAATCGTTATATAGCTATCATAAAATGTATACCTTATTAGTTTTACTTGATTATAAATGACAATAAAACAAAAATAAATAAAACATATACAATTTATTTATTCATTGTATAATTAATGCTATACAAATGTTCAAATATCGCATGCACATAAAGAAATACAATTTTTATGATACATGTTAGAGAACGATGAAGTGGAACTATTAATTTATGATGACAAGAATACTATTGATAGTAATATCAAATGGGATATAGAATAATATAATGAAGTAATGTTGAAGCAAATACTAAATTAGCAATGAATAAATTTATTAGAAACTGAATAATAGCAAACCGTTAATTTACTTACTTGTTCTAAGATAAGTTTAGATGTTTTAAACTAAATCGTGAAACATTAAATTTTCATATGAATATTTTATGCATCATTTTATATATTTTAAAATATAATAGAACAATATTTTATACATATGCATTACACGAAACAATAATATGAAAATGAGTAGAAATTATTATTATTATTCGAACAAAGTGATTTATTCGATATCCTTCAGGTAGATCGAAATTTATAAAACTTTCTTCATTGGTCATAGTCAAATTTTTATTATATTGTGTCTAATATTAAATTTAAAAAAGCTACGTACTGCCGGAAAAATATTAGAAATATTTTTCATATCGCATATGAATTTGTTTCCTGTTCGTGTTCTTTTTTCATTTCTAGTTTTCAACACTATATTGGACAATTTTTTAAAAAATTTACACTTATATTATATCAAATGACAATCTAAAATATTCCTATCGAATTTAAAAGATGTCTTTTTGACTAGATATAAGTTCCGTACATCCCTCATATATGTGCTGATATATGCTAATTTTTTATATTTTATGTAAAAGATATTATTAAAATATATATTAAATTTATTATAACTCGCACTTTCTTTTTCATGATTATGAATTTCAACTTATAATTGTGCTTCTGTTATATATATATAATTATGTTAGAACACTGTAACAACTTGAAATTTGATATGGAAGTAGCTCAATACCATTATCTTTCGTACCCTGATATCATCTTGGCTTCTTGATTTCCGAATATAGGTCGTAAAAAAGTAGCAAGAAAATGTCTGATAAAGCAAATTATATAAGTAAAAGGCTAAAATATCTTTTCTTATATATATTAATCACAGACAACTTTAGCTCAATTACAATTTTAAATCAATCAAAATATATATTAATTAAAATATTTCTTAACTTCAGCATTCTATATATATTTTACAGTATATAGGCCTATATATCTATCTTTTATTACTCTTAAAGATTTTAAACTAGATATTTAAACACGTTGCGACTCTTAACTCTACATTACTTTCTTTTTATTTATTTATTATTTGTGTGTATGTGTGTGTCTGTCTGTAATTTGGAAAAGAATTCACGAACGGTTTCTTAAGGACACATCATCGAGATTTCCAGACACGATTTTCGGTCCGAGATCTAACAAAAATCTCAAACTGAACTTTAAGTAAATAAATAGAAAATGATGTGATAATTCGCAACCAATGATTTACAAAGAACTTTCTCCCGAATTAAATTATAAAAATATAAATTTATTTATAGACTATTTATAAATCTTACGTAAAGCTATTAAATTAATAATTATATTATCGTTAATGTTCAAACTATATTCACGGAAACATGTATAATTAATTCTGTAAAGTTACTTTTTCGCAAGGGAAAAAAGAAAGAAGAGTGATTCACAACAAATTTGCATTATAATAGTTTTAATTACATTTATCAGAAATAAAGGTTATAGATATGGATTTTATTAAAAATAATCTGTTTAACTCTTTAAATAAAAGTTTTAAAGAATTTTTAAATTACCATCATCTTATTTCATCCATTCATTAAAATCTAAATGTAACATGTATCTTATCTTGTTTGTATTTATTGGTTATTTATATTTTTTCTCCAATCTTTACGGATAGTAATAACAAAAGGTAGCTAAATATTCGAAATTCATATATTTATATTTAATTTTAAAGAATTGTATAAAATAAAAAATAATTAAAAATTAAATAATTGCGTGACTCAATACGAAGGTTTTATTTTAAAAAAATAAAATAAAAAGAGAGAGAAAGAGAGAAAGCTACTACAGGGTTATTTAATATTAGACTATTATATTTACTTATGTGTTATATAAATGTGAGTTTTGTTTCAAATTAACAGACAGTAAAAACTGTGAATAGCATAATATACAGTGTATCTACAATAAAATTTATTTGAAAAAATAGATAATGTACAAAGATTTTTGTAATTATTTACAATGAGATTCACCTCCATTTATGAAAATTCGTACAAAAAATACATAAAAAATAATCAATGCAATGATGGAGAATATTTTAATTGTCTTTAGGATATTGCTTAATGTCTGTACAAAGTATTATATACAATTATAAGTCAATTTGGTCGTTGACTTTTGGCTGAAATTGGATTTCTGCATATTCAATTATTTCTTGTCTCGGTCTTGCTATACTTCTTGCGCTTCCGTTGCTCGACAGATCCAAATGTGCATAAAGAACGCTACCATTACCTCGTTCGGACTTAAAATGACAAAAATATTTATTTTTAGGATCAAATTAAGTACGTTAATCGAAAAAAAAAATAAATAGTCACAGAAACTTAATTAAAATAGAGAATTATGATAAAAAATATAATTAAATCTAAACTATACTGTATCTTAATTAAGTTAAATACATTTTAAAAAGTTTGTTATTTTTTTTATTTCTAAATTTGATGTATTTTGATGGACGAGTTCAATCTGTTTTTAAATGCATTTAATACCCTTAAGAAAAGTTGGTAAACTAAATTTCTTTACTAATTGAATAAACATTATCCAAACATAGTCAAAGTGCGACAACTTAGGAAAATCAAGTTAAAGACTTTCATTAAAGCTCTTCACCTTTAAATTTTCGTAATGAGGTTCGGTAGCTGTAACCAAGACTGGAGTATTTCTCTTAGGAGAAGCGTAAAGGGCATCAGGAGGTATCGCTCCTACAGAGCGATTGGGAGGAGGAAGTTCCGATGAATGTCCACTATCGGATTCACTGCAGATAAGAACAACAAGGTTATTCATGGCAAAATTTGTAACTATAGTTTAGTTTGAGACAGTTTTACCAATTGAATGTCTTACTCTAAGAGTAATGTAAACCAGTGATGAATGTGTGTCTCGAGTTAAATTATACTGTACTTGGAAGAGATCAATGCTTTAATCTTCGGATGTCGTTTAGTTTGCAAACCACGCAAAGTTACGTTATTTCATTGATAAAAATCACCAGAAACAACTGAATACAAACTAAATATTTTAAACTAAGTTGGAATGTATGATTCATTAAAAATATATGTTAATTTGATTGTGTAATGACAGTACTCTGAAGAACTACTTGCTTAAAGACATGATTTATCCATCAAATAACAATAATGTTTCAATTGATTTTAATATAAGGAATATTTCCTAAGGGTTTAAATATTTAATTACAAAGAAAGTAAACAATTATAAAGCAAACAGTAATAGGGCGTTTTATATTATTTGTTTGAATTGTTCAGTTATTCTATGTATTTTATTACTTCCAAGATATTGTTAACCATATTTTTTTCTAGTAACTTCAAGTTTACATAGCTTGGGAATATTAGATTTATTAAATAAATATATAAAATATATTTCGCGTGTTAATTCGGAAAATTAATAAATTATACATTGTTAAATCTGATTTAATTTTAATGGTTATTTAAATTTACTGT